CGAGTTACAGTCTCGATCCCGCGCATTATTATACACTACCAGGTTTCACGTGGGATGCCATGCTGAAACATACGCGCGTAAGATTTGAATTGCTCACTGACATTGATATGGTCATGTTCATTGAGCGCGGTATACGCGGTGGCTTCAGTCAATGTTCCGACAGATATGCGCAGGCTAATAACAAGTACATGCGTTCGTACGACCCGTCGGAACCGTCGACGTACTTAATGTACTACGACGTTAACAACTTGTACAATTGGGCGATGTGTCAACCATTGCCATACGCCGAATTTCAATGGGTCAAAGACGTTGCGAACTTTGACGTGAGCGCAATCGCTCTGGATTCGCTCATCGGTTATATTCTCGAGGTCGATCTCGAGTATCCACAACATCTCCATGACGTTCACGCGGACCTGCCTTTCTGCCCGACGCGCGATAAGCCGCCTGGCAAGCGCGAGGATGAACTTCCAGCGCTTACAATAAACAGCGTTACATCATTCACTACCGCAACCTACAGCAATGTACTCGTCACGGTCTTTGCGTAACAAAGATCCATCGGGTGTTACAATTCGCGCAATCTCCATGGCTTCGCGAGTACATCCAACTCAATACCAATTTCAGAACTAATGCGAAAAACGATTTTGAAAAAAATTTGTATAAATTAATGAACAACGCGGTTTTCGGAAAAACCATGGAGAATGTGCGCAATCACGTCGACGTAAAATTATTAACAAAGTGGGACGGACAATACGGCGAAGAGGCAATGATCGCGAAACCGAATTTCCACAGTTGTAGCATCTTTGCGGAAAATTTAATCGCCGTCGAACTGCGTAAACTCGAGGTGAAGTTCAACAAGCCGATTTACTTGGGTATGTGTATACTCGATATATCGAAAGTCTGCTTGTACGAATTTCACTACGACTACATGTTACCACTGTTTCACGATAAATGCAAAAGCATGTACACCGACACGGACAGTCTCATTTACCACATAGAATGCGAGAACATTTACGAGACTATTAAACACGATATCGCTAGATTCGACACGAGCGATTATCCGGCGGACAACGCATACGGTATGTCTCTCACGAATACAAAAGTACCAGGTCTTATGAAGGATGAGAACAACGGTATGATAACGACCGAATTCGTTGGGCTCAGAGCGAAGATGTACGCGGTGAGGGTAGATGGCAAAAAGGACACCAAAAAAGCAAAAGGTGTAAAGAGTAACGTAGTAGCGCGAACGATAACGTTCGGCGATTACACGCGGTGCTTGAACGAAGAGATCAAAATGACTCGTCGTCAATCGTGTATACGATCTAAACTGCATGAGGTATACACGATATCCGAATCGAAAATCGTTCTGATCCCATACGACGACAAACGATACGTCGTACCGAACACGACGGAGACGTTACCGTGGGGACACTGGCGGATACCTTTGTAATATATGCATTAACATTTATGTTACTACTAAGTACTACTATTATTGTATTGTAATTTACACTTTATGTATGTTTTTTACGTTTAAATAAGTATTGCTATTATGTTTTATGTAGTACCATTTATTATGTATTATTATTTTCAATTCGTGTATCAACCATTTTCTTATATATGTATGTGTTACGTCCTGAGCACGAGACTAGGGAGTTTTTGCAATAACGTGAATTCAGATACGGTGAACGTTAAAGTCACGTTATCTGATAGAAAACGAAACTGCGCATGCGCATTATTTACCGTGACGCTATTCTGATAACGTCCAACCTTATTTCTTAGCAAATAAGGTTCGTGATTAGCGTCGACATTATAACCTAATAGCATGGTGGCAGAACATAACCATAGCCACTACGAACTTTAGACTACGATTCACGAATGAGGATGACCTCGTACTCTTAAAAGAGGTTACATCTCTAAATCCATACGAAGATAAGGAAAGATGGAAAACCATTGCAGACCGTGTGGGAGCAGCATCTAAAAAAAATTTCAGTGTACGTGCTGTCCGAGATCATGTCGAGCATCTTCTTAAAAACTGGATAAAAACAAATCGTGCGAACTTGAAAAAGTAAGTATTCTAAACGTTTATGTAAACTATAAAATAACTATACTACAAAATAAACTCAAAAATGATAGTCTCTTAAAAACATTATATAACTTCACTATTGATTCGATTTACATAATTTTAGATGCGAAATTCGTCTGACTAATGATATTAATTTGTAGATCAGGAATAAAAGAAGAATACACAGAAAAGGAACAGCTGCTTCAAGAAATAGAAGATTTGCAACAAGAATATAAAGGAACAGCTGCTTCAAAAAAAAGTAACAATTCTAACCTACAAAACCGAGGAATACAAGCAAGAGATACAGCATTAAGACATGTTAATCTGTCGGAGACAAATGAAAATGTTAATCTGTCGGAGACAAGTGAATTAGAACTTCAAGAACTTACGTTACCTATCTCTTCAACAAACGCTCCATCAAGTCCGACGTTAACACCAGTAGCATTACAACAAGATTTTATTCCTTTTACGTGTTTAACGGATACTCTATCAATAAGTTCAGTACCACATCACTATTCACCACAACCAATACTATCACCAGGATTAACACCATCACCATCACCAGAATCAGTAGCATTACCATCACCAGGATCAGTACCATCACCAAGATCATTATCAACATCTCCTAGAACGCCATTATCAACTTTACAAGGTCCTATAAGAAATAAAGTTCGTGGTGGACTTAAAAATTCAACATTATATTTTCTAGAAGAAAAACACAACAAAGAAATACAATTTGAGAAACAGAAATTACAATTGGAAGAAGAAAAATTACAATTTGAAAAAGTAAAATTTGAATTACAAAAGAAAGAACGGGAAATCAGATTGCAATTGGAATCAGAAGAAAGAAGACACAGTATTGCTGCAACAGATCAGCAAAGGCATTTAATGGAAAAATTATTGCATCTCATCGATAAAAAGATATAATTTTAGGTTTATTTTCGTATGCTCCAACATGTTTCTATCATAGCTCCTACTCACTTCAAAGACGTTCGTTGGAATGAGTAGGAGCTATAAAAGCATTTTGGAACATGTGGCGCAAACAAACCTTTTAATTATTTTTTTGACATTTTATATTTTCCATGAGGTGCAAAAATACATTTATATTTCTTGTTGAGATAAATATTAATTTTTTTATATATTTGAAATACTTACCTAAAATTATATTGCATGTTATAAAGAGAAATATTAATATAAAAAAAGATTGAATATAATATAAGTATTACTTTATTCATAGAAAAAATGAATGGAAGAATTTGCATAAAATGACATATGAATATTACTTTATTTATGTATCGATTTTAAATCATATTATTTTAACGAAAAGCTTTTTAATTATTAAATCGCAAATTCTATTCTATACGTACATATATTTGTGAAATTCATTAAATTGTTTTGTTTCCTAAACATTTTTTATTAAAGTAAATATTTACTTACGAGAATATGTCATCGTAATGAACAATAAATCGTATAAAATTAATGCGTCCAAGACAGAAAAAGGAAAAGATTATTAGTTTACAAAAAGTTTAATAACTCTTACATAATTACTTCATAACATAATACAATTTGATTACATAATTTGGAAAATAAATACCGAGTAATGAAATTTTACTGATGGCGAGAGGTAGAAGATTAAGTTCAATTAGTTTAAGTATCAGTCAGGATGATTATAAAGTGCCTCTGTATAGGATTTTTTGTTGATTTCTAATTTCTAATTGTTTTTAAAGAAAAATTTTCTATCATAATTTTAGAAAATGTGAACTCGATACACGTTTTTTTAAACTTAATTTTGATATCTTCAAATAACTGCATATAATGTTATATACATAAATGTAAATAATAGAATTTCAGGTTTAAAATTTTTTATGTATTGATTTATTATTTGTGGATTATACGAATCATATAAAAGTAAAGCTACTATAAATGCTAAAAGCATTCAATCTGTGATAATACAAACCCTAATAACACACTTTATCCAGGATACATCCTGAGGATGTCCTTAGGATGTTCAAAGGATATACATCCTTTGGACGTCCTCAGGACGTCCCCTGGAGATCTGTGTTGTTAGGGAAGACATATGTATATTAGAGAAAAAAGATATCAAGATTTTAAGATTTGTGTAAATATTTCACATTTTTTCCAAACATGTTTTTATATATTTTGTGAAATAAATATTTTATATATTTGAAATATCTATTCTGTAAACGTAGACCTATCTTATACGAATTTATGTAGAATTTTTGTGGATAAAATAAAAAGCTCTTAATATATCTAGATATCCTTTAATATAATTTGTCTTGTAACATTGTTTATCTGTCTGCATTCTTTCTGTAATTTATATATTCTATTACATTTTACATTTATAAATGAACATTAAAGTAAGTATTCTTCTAATGTATGCGGATTAATATTAAAATATTGAGCAGTTTGGTTACTGTATAAACATGTGTGACAATTTGCCAAAATTGTTGCTGTTTTGTACATTGAAACTACATCTTGAAGCAAGAGTTTCTGGTTTTTCTTGAAATCAAGGAATGCAAATAGCATTATTATTTTACTAAAACCCCATTCGACCGCTTGCCTTACAGAGCTCATTCTTAAATTAAAGATCTCTTGTTCATGAGTCAATACTCTACTCGTATATGGTCTAAATAATAGTTCGTGCATAGGATAAGCAGAATCTCCGTAAAATACAAAATTAGTATCTGGAAATGATGCACACCTTTGTAATTGAGGATACAAAAGCGAGTCTCTAAATATACCTGTAAAGAAAATATAATATATCTTTGACTATGCTATAATGCTAAATCAGCTACATTTATAGAATACCTGCGTCATGTCGTCTACCAGAATAGGGTCCATGAAGACTAACTACTATACCATCTGGACATAGTACAGATTGATATTTGAGACAATGTTGCCGTTTATGACCAGAATAATACTCTTGTTGATTCACAGATGGTCGACATATTGCTCGTGCTGTACCGTCAATGAATCCCCAGCAATTTCGCACAGGTGCTCTTTTCATAGAAACAGCCTTTAAAAAAAAATAAATTTCACTTATTATTGTAACAAAACCATTTAAGATATTTTATATATATACATCATATCAATTATATCAAGCTCTTGACGATATATCAAGGTCTCGAGGTGGACAGAGCTAACGAGCACATTTATAAAATACAGACAATTTTGTAGATTAATCCATGAGCCAAAATGTCTGTCTGGAAAGTTAATGTGTAACTTGTATAAAAAGAATGTATTGAGAAAATATAAATATATAACGCTCATTATTGTTCTCATTAACCTTTCTTTGTTAATAGTTTTGTTTTTAATTGTAGCCTCTCACCTGTGAATAATATTCGAGCTTGTTTCTATTAAGCCATGGTAGATTATTTAGATCTGTCAATAAATGTCCTTTCTGTCGTTGAATTAGTCTCATTACAGTATTGGAAATTACTGAGAGATAAGGAACAGACAGGCCAAATTTAATTTCTAAATCTGACAGTCTATTAGGATATGCTAAACGTCTCAAGTATATACATAAACCTTCTATACCTATAAAAAATTCAAAAGAATCTTTGTATTTTCACGTGAGTGTTTTACAGATTAGCTTATATATCATAATCCTATAAATCAGTTAACTTACCTGAAACGACATATCGATTTTCTGTTTCTATTTGGTAAGGTATACCAAGAGCAGCTGCAAGTCTTCCAATGTGTTCTCTTTCAAATCGAAATTTTGCTTTACATTCCTGTGGCATCAAATTATTTAAATCTAATCCTTCATATTGCATATTTCTAATAAAGGCATTATTACGTGGTGCCAACAACTCTTGTATAATAACATCTTCCACGAAATTAAAATCGTACATGGCAAGCTGTAATAAGTCCTCCATCTTATGTCACCGTAGCGTCCTGCGTCCGTTGCGCAAAAACTCTTATTGGTTAGAGCACGTAAAGATGAAATACGGTTTAAGTCATGTGACTTTAGCGTTCACCGTATCTGAATTCACGTTATTGCAAAAACTCCCTACTTTCGCGGTTACGAGACGCGGCATAACTTGGCGGGAACGTGGATCGCGGAGCGGGGCGCGCGGGGCGAAGCCTTGGCTTCTACGCGGTGTTTTGACGCGTTTTTCAGTGTTGAGAATCGGCAGCTGTCACCAGTGCTCAGAAACGAGCACGAAATTCGGAGATATAATACTTATGTAATTACGAGAGATTTAAATGATTAACCCTCCGTGCTCTTCCGACAAAATAATATGGAGAGTTTAGAGGATGCGTCAGTTGGCTTCATCTCGCATGTCTCTCTATCTATGGTCTCCGATAGGTCGGGAAGAACAGAGAAGGATATAGGAAGGCCTTAAGGGCAAAGAAATAAAGTGAATACAAGTGGTTATGAGTCGATAATTTTAATACTAAGACTACAAGGCGCGTGACTTATGACGCGAGGTTTGGCCGTAATTAAGATAGGCCTGGTGGATTTACGGGCAGGTGCCACGTGTGGTGGGGACCGAGGCGGCGCAAGTCGCGGAGGTGGAAGCGCGGAAACTGCGGGTTCCCGAGAGACGGTTTTCTCTTCGGTAGATTCGGACTCCGCGAGGCTGGCCGGCGGGGTTGACGCGACGACAGTGACATTTTCGGAGCCCCCAAGCTCTTCCTCCCAATGTTCCGAGGAGTTAAAGTTTCCTCTCGGTGAGGAGCTCCTACTGGAGCTTCTTAAGATGCACGCGCCAGCCTCCTCGTTTGCCGCGCGGACGTTTCTTCTGCGGCATCTAAGCCCAGAAAAAACGTTTGTGAATATGGCAGTTAGAAAAAGAGAGTAGGAGTGCGGAGGCCTCGACGCCGTGGAAGGCGCTCGTTTGGAGTTCCGCAGGGAGTTAGCTTCGGCGTCGCTATGGGCAGCGCTGTCGAAACCAAGTGAGGAGATAGCCCGTCAGACGCCGTGGTTGGCGCACGATCGGGGCTGGATTTCTGTGGGAAGTGCCGAAGATCAGGAGCGCTACTTAAAGCGCTAGAAGTGCTTACCGTTATGGATTTTTGGAAGAAATAGGAGACTTGTCTTTAGACGCTCTGCTTTATATACTGTTTATTTCGTGGCCTTTCGCGGCAAGGGGATGTTTTCGCTCACGTGCCATTGCGAAATCACTATTACGTGCCGATTGTGTAATTTGTACTTTATTCTAATGATAATAGGGTTTTGGTTAGATCGCGCGTTTTATCCTGCTGCGGGGGTCGCGGGATTTGTAATCGCGCGTTTGGCTATCGTGTATCGCGGCCCGTTGCGGCAGGG